AAGAGCAGCGCGGCGAAGTGCAGGTAGTGCAGGCCGCAGAGCAGCGCCGGGCAGCGCCCGGGGGCGCCGCAGGAGCCGGAGCCCAGCAGGAATTCGGGGATCAGCCGGGTCAGGCCCAGCCCCAGCCCCCCCAGCAGCCCCCAGAAGGCGCCCTCGGGGAGAAAAAACGCGAATTTGGGAAAAAAAAAACCAAAAATTTGGGGTTTCGGGGGCAAAATTTGGAGGTTCTAGGCCAAAATTTGGAGGTTCTAGGCCAAAATTTGGAGTTTCTGGGTCAAAATTTGGGTGTTCTGAGGTCATTTGGAGGTGAAATTTGAGGCTTTTGGGGTCACGTGAAGTCAAAATTTGGGGTTTTGGGGTCACTTGGAACTGAAATTTGGGGGTTTTGGGGCAAAATTTGGCGGTTTTGGGCTCAAAATTTGGGGGTTTTGGGGTCAAAATTTGGAGGTTCTGGGTCAAAATTCGGAGCTTCCGCCTCAAAATTTGGGGTTTTGGAGTTGAAATTCGGGGGGTTTTGGGGTCACCTGGATGCTCAGGAGCTCCAAATTTGGGGTTTTGGGGCCATGTGGAGATGAAATTTGGGGGTTTTGGGGCAAAATTTGGCGGTTTTGGGGTCAAAATTTGGGGGTTTTGGGGTCAAAATTTGGGGGTTTTGGGGTCAAAATTTGGGGGTTTTGGGGTCAAAATTTGGAGTTTCTGGGTCAAATTTTGGAGATTCTGACTCAAAATTTGGGTGTTCTGAGGTCATTTGGAGGTGAAATTTGGGGAATTTGGGGTCACCTGAGCACCTGGGAACCCCAAATTTGGGGTTTTGGGGTCACCTGGAGCCAAAATTTGGGGGTTTTGGGGTCAAAATTTGGGGGTTTTGGGGGCAAAATTTGGGGGTTTTGGGGGCAAAATTTGGAGTTTCTGGGTCAAATTTTGGAGTTCCTGGGTCAAAATTTGGTGTTCTGAGGTCATTTGGAGGTGAAATTTGGGGCTTTTGGGGTCACCTGAAGTCAAAATTTAGGGTTTTGGGGTCACTTGGAACTGAAATTTGGGGGTTTTGGGGCAAAATTTGGGGGGTTTTGGCTCAAAATTTGGGGGTTTAGGGGTCAAAATTTGGGGGTTTAGGGGTCAAAATTTGGGGGTTTTGGGGTCACCTGGAAGAAAATTTGGGGGTTTTGGGGTCCCCCGGATGTTTGGGAGCCCCAAATTCGGGGATCAGGCGGGTCAGGCCCAGCCCCAGCCCCCCCAGCAGCCCCCAGAAGGCGCCCTCGGGGAGAAAAAACGCGAATTTGGGAAAAAAAAACCCAAAAATTTGGGGTTTGGGGGGCAAAATTTGGAGGTTCTAGGCCAAAATTTGGAGTTTCTGCCTCAAAATTTGGGGTTTTGGGGTCGAAATTTGGGGGTTTTGGGGTCACCTGGATGCTCAGGAGCTCCAAATTTGGGGTTTTGGGGTTACTTAGAGCCCAAATTTGGACAGTTTGGGGGCAAAATTTGGGGTTTTCAGGGTAAAATTTGGGGGTTTTGGGGTCAAAATTTGGAGGTTCTGGGCCAAAATTCGGAGCTCCCGCCTCAAAATTTGGAGTTTTGGGGTCGAAATTTGGGCGGTTTTGGGGTCACCTGGATGCTCAGGAGCTCCAAATTTGGGGTTTGGGGTCACGTAGAGGTGAAATTTAGGGGGTTTTGGGGTCAAAATTCGGGGTTTTGGGGGCAGCGGGACTTAAAATTTTGGGGGTTTGGGGTCATTTTTAGGGGAAATTTGGGGGTTTTGGGGTTAAAAGCCCCTTTAAACTCATCCAGCTGTGCCCAGCTGTGCCCAGGTGTGCCCCAAACCCCCTTAGGAGCCCACAAAATGTGCCCAGGTGCCCCCAGGTGTGCCCCAAACCCCCTTTAACCCCACCCGGGTGCCCCCAGGTGTGCCCAGGTGAGCCCCAGACCCCCTTTAAACCCTTCCCAAAGCCCTCCAGGTGTGCACAGGTGTGCCCCAAACCCCCCTTAAATTCCACCAGGTGTGCCCAGGTGTGCCCCAAACCCCTCCAGGTGTGCCCCAAACCCTCTTTAAACACCTCAAGCTGTGCCCAGGTGCCCCCAGGTGTGCCA